CCCTTGTTAATTAATGAAAAAAAACGTAATAATTAAAACCACATATGACCAGACAAACTGAATTTCCAAGTAATTTGCAGTAACTTGTGGTATAAGCGTATGATTATTCCCTCACTTTCAATTTTTCTTTAGTTCAGAGCCAATTTTTACCGCAATAAGGTTTAGTCACACAGTATTTTGATTCACTCTGGTCTTTATAACGTGACGTTTTTCAATGCGAGATTACATCGTCTGCTTGACTCGAACGCTTTTAAAAGCATTACTATACCGTAAAATTGCGAACATATTCCGTTAGCACGTTGCATAACTTTGGATACGTCTCAAATAAAGCGCCCGGAATCAAACTTTTAATAATAGTAAGCTAAAAACAACAACAACAACAAAAGTACGAAAAGAAAAGTGCAAATTTTAGTGCGCCCATCCCAACAAACTGCACAGATTCTTTCCAGAAACCAGCCAAGAAGGGACAGCCGCAGTGATTGTCCTCTGGCGCTAAATAGCCGCGGCTATCAAACAAACGCGCCTATGACCCGCTGGCGCCACCGCGTCTTTCCAATTGGCTAAGTTCCGTTGGCACCGGATAGCCCGGAACATCCGCGTTGTCTCGCACACAAGGAGTTGAGATCCGTTCGCGGAGCCAGGGAAGGGCACCGCCGAGGCTCTCAGCGACGAGGACCGACCCATCTTTGCAATTAGGCTGATCTCTGGGTATCGGGGAGAAGCGCTTCCCCTAATAAGCTCGGCTGTTTTACATCCGAAACACGTTCAACCCTTTCATGGCGAACGCTCCTGTTCGGGGGGCAAGAAAGCTCGTTCGAAAGTTATTTGTGGGATTTTTTCCCCTTTCTTTTCATTGCGAAAAAAGAAGGGGGGTTGGATTCTCCTAGAATCTGAAGCAAGGGTTAGGTCAAATTTTCAAGAAACAAACCCTTGGAGTGTAGTACAAGCGGTTGACATTATATTTGAGGAGATTTGTTTTTCGATCTCATCGTATACACGTTAACAGCTTCTGTGCTACTCAAGTTGTTTCATGACTCAATCGATTTTGATGTGGGTGGAACGCATGGAACAAGGAACACGAACAGGCAACCAACAGTGAGGAATGTGCACCATTGAATATCATCGCAGAAACACAATAAAGGTGTTCGTATCTTTTCAAAGCACAGTTTATTGGATCCAACAACCTTCCTGGTTACTCTTTGTCTTCTTACTTTTTGTGTAGTTTTGTTATTATTCATATCGGTGCCGATTTATATATCAAATTTAATATCTGCAACTAACCAACAGAAGCACCAGTTCGTCTGATCAATCTAATAACTGCACGATTAGGGTGAACTTGTACAAACAATAAAACAAAATAAAACGCTTCCGGTCTGATTCGATTGTCTCGAGAAGCGTCAACGAGATGGTCGCGTATCAGCCCGAGGCGGAAGTGTGTGGAACTAGAATGGAAACAATCAAATGTCGTATCAGAAAATTCCGACACAAGCACGACCCCTACAAATAGGGAGGCAATCGAAATGGAACGTAGTGAAATGACATCCGGGGCAATACTGTCTGTGCAGTTCGTTTAAGTTCGTGCGTTTGTCTTTGAGCATCGGTGACCTGAGCGGGAAGCGGTGTGACGGCGCTTTCCTGAGAAATCGTTGTTCTCTCTCGTCCACTAAGCGCGCAATTTACCAGAAATACACTTCCAACTATCTCATCCCCACAACCATAACATTCTATAAGAGGTCGGGACTAGACACAAGGCGGTAGCCTTTGAAAAGGACGCAAATACCACTTCTGTTAAGTTTAAAATTCTTCGAAAGGAATCAGTTGAAACCAATGAGGCGAATAAACAAAAAAATAAAATAATAAAGTCCATCAAAAGACATGCTGATCTTGTCTATTTGTGTCTAACTCGATGGACAGATACCAATATATAAAGTCTGTTCAAATTCGGGGAACGCGCTAGGAGCTGTAGTAGAAGGGGATACGGAACCCGCTGGATGAAGCAAATTCGCTGCTGATGCCATATTTGCCAACTGATTGTTCTTTCAAACAAATAAAAAAAAAAAAAAAAAAAAAAACTTGCTGACGTGATTTTGCGAAATGCAGCAGTTAATCGTCCACTAGAGAAGTACAATCTTCACTGAGTGCAACCCTCGTTCCGTTACGAATATGGAATTCCAACTGCGTGTTAATCAATCATAAAACAACAACAATTTGAAAAAAAAAAATAGTGACTGCTACGAATGCGTATATTAAACGCTTCGAAACGGTTACTCGTTACCCCTAGGTAACAAGCAAAGAAACGAATTATGTCATTTTGAAACAGGTGTCACACCTAAGAGCTAAAGTGAAATAAGATACGTCGTATAGCGCTACGAATTCAGACTTCTGAACATTTAGAATTCAGTTCTGTGTTTTTTTGCGTTTTTATTTGTATAACATTACTACCCCCTCCCTTTTTTATGTAATGACCCTAACGGCACCTTAAGCGCAATAAATTAATAAAACAATGACATCAATATTCGTTAGTGAAATAAGTTTGTAGGAATTATCGATGAATAAAACGAGGCTGATGCCGATGTCCGCAACTCTTGAAATACTGTTTCCAAATAAAGGTATTTATAGTCGTTATAAAGATATTGAGACACGCTAATCAAGCCTGAGCCAGTAGAAACATAAAACAACAATAAAAAAAAAATAGCCCGAAACACGTTTTCTTTACAGAATATGCTACTTCCTGGAGTACCCTTCGGAACTCCATTGTTCGTACGGCAGGATCCGTGGCGTCACTGGACATCCTCCCGTGTGCGTCAGGACTTCCCAGCAGTAACAGCCCGTCACAAGCAGCCCACCGAGGAGAAAATAACACCGACGCTACGTGTGCGGCGCATGTCAAACTAAGTACAAACCGAAAAGAAAAAGAAGAAAAAAAAAAAAAAAACCAAGGCATGGTAGAACTTTACACCGAGCCGAGACCATCCATAGAAAACGAGTCGCAAGAAGTATAGCGGTACGAACGGAAACGTCGTTCGCACCGCTGCGTCGACGAACACGGAGAGCGAGGGGCAAGGGAGCGTGATTCAGGGGCCCGGACAAAGCCACGAGAATTCGTCCCGGGACGGTCTTGTTCCTCCCGCGCGGGATGCAGTACCCGGGGACAACACACCGACTCCCTCAACCAACTCACGAAAACTCGGGGCCGCTTCATGCGGGGGACTTCGGGCGGGGGGAAGAGGCCCGCGCCGGGGCTCCCTACCTTGAGGCGTCCCCCCTCGCTCGCTTCCTTCCGCCCTGCCGGGGGTGCGAGTGCCGGAGGTCCCGTGATTGAAAAGCGACGCCACGTCGTCAACGCGTGACTCAGATGCGGGCCGGGAGGGGGGTGGTGCTCGTTCGTCGCCCGCCGTGTCGTAGCTTTTAAACAGCGCGTCCAGGGAAGCTCGCCGCTCTTAATGTCGACGACGTGGCGGCACGGAGCCCGGGACGAGGGAAACATCCCGCATCTTCCGAGTGGTAACATCACGATGGTCGGTTACGGGGAGTGGGAGCAAGTTTTTCGGGAGGAGGGTGGGGGCTGCTTCGTCCCCACTACAAGCCCCGTGCAGCGGGAAGGGAGGGGACAGGGAGCCTGCCCGCTTGTTAGCCATCCATTTGCCACTTGGCTCTTCGCTCGCCGGGGTTACTGTTCCCGGAGTCTGCCCTCGTCCCGTTCTTGTCTCCCCTCCAGCGACGAACCACTTCAGGATGCCTTAATTAATTCTGGCTGTTCGCGGACGGGCGCCTACAAAAGGAGGCATAAATCTGGGGGAGGGGAAAGCGCTCGTTGAATCCGTGGAGCGAGAGTTGCGCGGGAGTTTAGCGGGAGCGGCAGGAGAAGAACGGCCCTGGGAGTAGAGAGCACGCCGACGTCATCGTCAATGGCGGACGCCGGAAGTCGCAGTCAGCGGAAGCGGAAGTGCTGCGTTTGGGCAAAGCGCGCCGGGGAGACGAGGAAGAGGAGGTACGGCCTCGTTCAGGGAAGGCTGGCTCGCGACGGAGAGAATGGAGCTGCTCCTCGTAGTCTGGGAGGTCGGGGGAGGATGCGTGGGTTCCGAGGGACGGGAGCAGCGCGATGGAAGTTGCACTTCGTGCACATCAACGCCTACTGCTCCTTTGCTCGTCGACTGCCTGCACGTGCCGGGCGCGCGAGAGCACCCGGGTCGTTTGCGTTCCCGCCGCTACGATGGTCACGTGCGTCCGGTCACGTGACAAAAACGAAGCTATTGCGCCGTCGAGAGCTGCCCCCCGTTGTTCGCTGCTCCTGCTGCTCTTTCCGAGTCGTGATTTAGGGTATACACGAGAGGCCGCGAGGCGCTGCGTGGAGTCTGGCCGCGGGTGCTGCCGCACGTGCGCGCGGGTGGCCTGACAAGCGCAGCGTGTTGGCGGCTCCATTTTACGAAGCCAGGAATGCTGCGAAAGGCCAGCGCACGATTCCCTCGACGCCCCCGTTCGGAAAAAGCTCTGAGGCTGTTGCTGCCGTTCTTACAGCCATATATACTGGCCATACCGATTCCGAGCAAACCGCGAGCGCCTACTTTTCGTATTTCTTTTTTTAACTGTTAATGCAAAGAGAGGTAGGTGTCAATATGCTGCAATGATGAAGGGTCCACCTAAAATATGATTTCGTCTAAAGGGCGGCAGTTTCTGCGAAATATCTTGTTCTGAAGCACACTTTCGGGGACGCATACTTTGGTGTGCCGTGTATTTGGTAAAATACGTCTTTGTACTTTGTTGACAAGGTCGGCGCCACTCCGGTAGACAAGGCTTCATCTGCGCCGAAAAAGCAAGATTACTGTACTTAGCATTTAGGATAGCACTTCTCCGGAGACCCTTCTTCACGAGCTTTAATAAACACTTCGAGATAAAACGATCCATGGACCATGATCGTAGCCGCGGTTCTGCCGCTCGTCCGTCGTGTCCAGCTTGGCGGAGCTGGATGCCATCCATCGAGAGAAACCTCGGCCACTCACCTTCGCCATCGGGAGCGACGGGCGCCTTAGTCGGCTCCACGGGCTCGGGGTAGATGACGGCCGTGTCGCTCCTTCCGAGGTACTCCCGAATCTTCTCCTCCTCGGACTGCTCCTCCCTGCCCTCCAACGACTTCCTCCGGTCCACGGTGAGCGACGGGGTCTCGCCCTCCGCTCCTTTCTTCGTGGCATTCAGGTCGCGGTCGCGGTCCCAGTGTCGATCACGATCTACTTCGCGATCCGGATTCCCGTGTCCGTTCAGGGTCGACCCCTCCGCCAGCCTCTTTCGGTTCCAAGACGGCGGGAAAAGCGGGGACGGGGCCCTCGGAGGAGGCGACGGGGGCGGCGACGCGTCCTCGTCGATCTGTAGCGGGACGTCTAGGTTGGGGGACTCCGGGGACGGCAGGGGCGCGGCGTCGACGGGGGCTGCGACGGCCGACGGCGGCGGGGACGGGTGCTGACCCGGGTCCGGAGGAGGCGGCGGGGGGTCTCCCGAGGTCGGAGAGCCCGGGGACGTGGTCGCCGTCGCGGTGTCCACGGCGTCCGCGTCTTCCGCCATGGTCTCCAGTTCCACTGTTGCGGAAGAGAGAAGGGAATCGCGGTAAGTACACCGGACTCGAGGAAAACGTTTGAACGGGAAAACGAACCACGACGTAGTGTTACGCAAACAGTGGTTTGAATCGAATAGAGCCGCGTCAGGGAGATCCGCGAAATACCGGCTCTCTTTGCAGTGTCCAAGCTAGGAATGACGCTGTGCTATTTGATCAAAAACAGTATTTTCACACTCCTCTTGATAATTTTTTGTGTTCAAAGGAAACCGAGTCACAAACAAAATCTATTAAGCTAAGTTTTGCCCGTCTTCTGGCGTATTCGTAACGCTGAGAACTTTTTGCTATACTTCATCTCACCTTATCAAAGCACGTCAGTGCGTAATCAAAGGCTAGAAGACAAACACACAGGCGCACAGACTAATAGCGCAAGGTCACAGTCCAGTCACAGCGCTTGATTGGATGTACCGGTTGCTTTCAAAAACAACACGAAAGAACGGCGAACGCCGTAACGTTGCGCTTTTGGCGGCCTTCTGACTGATAGTGACGATTTTAGTACACTTTTAGCTTTGTTTAAAAATGTTTAACCATTGATAAGAGTATTTACGGCACTTTCAAGCCTCAAGTTACTGGGTATACTTATCAGAAAGACGCAAAGCAATTATTTGCACCTTGTATGTCAAACACATTATGTTTTTTTTTTTGTAAATTAAACAAAACAAAAACGCAAACATATATTTGGCGTATATTTCGTGTCTCAGAGGCAGACATGTACAAATTACTAAAAAAATGTAGTTAAGTTAAATTACTGAGTATCGACGCCAAAAGTAATTGGAGTAAAGTAGAAATGACGCATTTGTAATAATAATTGAGTAAAGTACTAACTACTGTAAAAAAGTAGCCAGTTACTTTGAAATTACTTTCGAAGTTACTTTTTATATTTTTATGGTAGCAAAATGGACATAAGTTTTGATCCATGAAAAACCAAGGGAGCATAACAAATAAATGCAGTCATTTTATGGCTTGCGTTTTTCAAAGTTCTCATCGGAGAGTTTTTCCGTTTTCCTCCTAAAGACGTCCCCAGTCAAGCTAAAAAGACGTTTCGCTGTGGCACTAGATGAAAAGGCAGCGTTGATTTCAGAAGCAGGCTGTGCAGGGTCGGGTAAGCGACTGTCGGCATCTTGGGTGCTCATGATGAAACATGTAAGCTTTGCCTCGGCTCCTTTGTTTCTTTTTTCTTCGGCAAGCTTGGATTGTTATGACTGGCCCCTCTTTATTCCGACGTCGTTCGGAGAGTACGCTGAGCGAGTGCACCTGACCGTCAAGGGTTGAAATCTTGCGCAATGACGATTAGATCATCCGGGCGACTGCGCGTCTCGTTGCAATGCTAGCGCTACGCTACCGAAAAAAAAAAAGTTTTGGTTTAACAGAAGATGAAACGAAGTATACTTCGCCGCTGACGCCGGGTCCAAGAAAAGGATCTCCCAAGGGTGAATCGCAATCCTCGCCGGCGACTACGGTATCTTGACGCGCCTTACACGCCTGGCAAGTAAAACGTTTTCAACAAAGAGGAGATCTCCCTGGCGTGGAAGGTCGGAAGGACGCGAAGGATTACGTGAACAAGCATCGGCGCTCGTACAGTTGCAGCTGGAAGAGGGAACATGCATGAATGGATTATCCGTGTCTGCGTTTGTGCGCGGGGGAGTCTGGCTTTGCAAGGGAGTATGCCCTGATGACGAGGCGACCATGGGAACAGGTGCCCAGCTGCGAGATCATTCCAGTGGAGCCTCCCGTAGAACTCACTGAAGGCAAACAACATGAAACTACAACAACTTTTGGAGTCTCCGTCTTTCATGGTTGCACCTGGAGGCCCGGCGCCTGCGTGCATTACCGGATTAGGTCAATACACCTCTTCCTGCGTTCATGCGCGCGGATGTTATGTTTTGGCTGCTCGTCGTCACCTTGGCATAAGGACGCCTGTGATGCAGTTTCTACGGCTGCCGAGTAAAAATGTGTGGAAACGGAACGTGAGGGGGCCCCTTGTTCAGGAATGCCTCTTCATTTGCCGCCGTCATATTTATTTTTGCGCTCAAACTTCTGTGATGCGCAAAATTAGCACTAGATTTCGAAAGTAGTTGGTAATTTGAGTAGAAGTTATCTGGAAAACGTAGTTAAGTTAAACTACTAATTACCCAAATAAAGTTGTACTTGAATGTTACCAAGTTTCTCGGTAAAGTAGTTAAACTACAGTAGTTTGATTAGAGTAGTTGAACTACGTCCAAGTCTGCTCAGAGGTAACGTAGCAGAAAGGCTGCTCATATCGGCAGATAGTTCGACAGTGAGTCGAACTCGCGAATATTATTTGTGAGTTTTAGAATGGCCCCGTGTTAGGGGACCTATAAAAAATAGGGGCTCACCACAGCGGATCCGCCGAACCCAAACCCTGTTTTCAGTTAGCGTTCGCCCCCAGCGCAGGATTTAGAGACGCCGAAGGGATGAAATGTTTTAATGTGGCGATTCAGGCCACTTGGTTCATGATCATAGAAAAGCACCAAAAAAATAGACAGGGACGACAAGTTGACGTAAACACTAACGTTTTGTGTTTCCGTCAACTTCTTGCCACTGTCTATTTTTTGCAGCTTGTCTACGACCCCTAAGGGAAACAAACATGGCAGCGCCCTGCATCGCTCACTCTAGAACAAAACCATAATGGTCGCTGCACTAATAGGCACATTCGTGGCAATAAACTGTCCCGCAGGCTTTCGTTTCGCCTTTCCTCGCTTCAAACACAAAGCATGAGAAATGATTTTGCCCTGTTTTCTAGATCGCTTTCTGATTCTGGCCGTTCTTAAACCCCAATAGACGCGGCAGTGTTTGACATGACAGCGCATCGCGAATCCTAGTGGCTTGTCTTGCCTCGATCTCACACAACAACGAAAATACATGAAAGGAACAGATAGGCAACTTTACTATATTACCTCAGTTGTGGAACTCCCACGGAAGGTAATGCACCCCCCCCCCCCCCCCCCCCATTTCTTACTTAAATTCGCCTCCCGTCGTTTGAAGCGCCATCTAGATTTTCGTTTCATAACTGTGTGTTCCATAGAGTACGGTGGAACGCTATCTAGACGCTGTGCTTAGAAACGTACATATTCCAGAATACACTGCAGTTATCATAAGCAGCCGTGTGGCAAAAGGGGGACGGGGGGGGGGGGGGGGGGGGGGTGCTGTTCGTGCAAGCAGCTTTCATGAGCAGTTCCGTAACTCAGCTAATATAATAACAATAAAAACTTTTCCTGGTTTTGATGTGCTCCCGCACTTCATTAATTTAAATATACAGGGTATCTTTTTTTTTTTTTTTTAAAGCTTTACAGATTTGTTTAAAAAAAGGCATGAAAGTTATATTTACGCGGTTTGTGCAGGTGAGTTATACGGCCAGAGGGACATAGTATATGGGAATAATTGTAACGATCAGTCCGCTAATTAAGTAAAATTTGTTAATTAACTTCTAAATTAGTAAAAAAATAGTCATATGGTTCCAACTACAAACTTGCTGAGCGTAGTCCAAAACCGCTAAATCAGTCATTTATAGAACAACTGAACGCGTGAGAAGCGCAGTAGTACTCTAAAGTTACCACTCGTGGAGCAGGGACAAGGCTGGGGCTCTCATAAAAGAGGGAAAAATCACGCGGGCACCGTACCGCAACCGCAAGCCTTGTACCTGCTCCACGAGGGTTAACTTTAGTGCACTACAACGCATCTCACGCACTCAAAGAGTTTCTGAAGATTACTGATTTAGTGCTTTTCGATGGCGCCCAGCAAGTTTCTAATTGAAACCATATGTCTATTTTTTTATAAATTAAAATGGTAATGAACAAACTTTACTTAATTAGCCAACTGATCATTACGATTAGCACCCTGTTCTATGTCCCCCTGGCAGTATAACTCACCTGTGCAGACCGCATAAGTGTAGCGTTCACAACTTTTTTTAAAAACAAACCTATAACGCTTAAAAAAAAGAACACCCGTATATCCTGCATCAACTGTCAAATTGTAATATTAAAAATGTACGAACTGTATAGGGTCCATTAATTTGGGGCTGAAAAATGTTTTCCACGCACGTGGTTCCTGCATCTTGGCGTGCAAAACCATGCACCGAAATATTTTTTTTTTAGCCTGAAACTATGCTTCGCATACCATAAGAAAAGCATCGCAAAAAAAAAAAGAAAAAAGAAACCATTTGCGAGTATCGTTTCACTTGCTATAGCAATCTATCAAGAGAACAGCAAACAAGGATAAAAAAAAAAAAGAAAACCGTTCTCTTTTACGTTTGCTTTTTTTTTAGAAAAGGTGGCATCAGGAACGTGCGCGTCTGTTCCACCAGAAAAGACAATTCGAGGAGGACGCACTTTTCTCCCTTCTGAACGGCTTTTGACTTATATGTGTTGTCGCCGCGTCAAATATTTCGCGAAAGTACATGCTTCAAATTTAATTTTACCCGAGGTAAAGGGAAAAGGTAAATACCAAAATAGCGTAAAAATTCCATCATTGAGAAGGAACCGAATCCCAGATGAAATTATAACGACCATCTGCAGATTCCGCGCGTGAGCTGCGAAACCCGACTGAGCGACAGCACTTTCCGTCAAGTAGAGAAGCAGGAAAATGATAACGGGGCTACCTGTCGCTCGCCTGGCTTCTACGAAACTGAAATAAACACCACGAGACGTCCTGGAAAAGCAAAGCAAAAACGAGCGCCAAGAAATGAAACTCTGAGCTAGAGAGGACGCCAGGAATCATCCCTGCGTGCGAGCCAGTAAATGATCCATGAAGGCGACACGGAGGAAGACAATAACCAAGTCCGAAATTTCCAAACCAAATCTTTCGCGAGAGCGATCTCGTCCTGCTGCTCCTGCAGCCCACCCTTCCCCGCAGCGCAGCGGAGCTCGCAGTGAAGCCCTCCTTCCAGCGCGCAAATATACAATCCCGCTTTCCTTGTTGGGCCCCGGTGCAGGCGAGCGGAAGGGC